GAAGACCGGGAGCACACAAAGGACAGTGATTCAAACCGACATGATCACATTAAGAAATGTATGGCTCTCGTGTCTAGCAAAAGACGCACCTCTGCAACATTGTCGCTAAAACACTCATAATCATGCGAGAAACGATGGATGTAACTCACTAATTTTTGCCTCCAAAAGCCTCAGTATGGTCGGCGGTGGGTGTCTAGGGTTGCGGCTGGGCACCTTTCCCTTGCACCTAGCGAAATGCTCCATACAACCCAGCGTGTCAAATAGCTTCTGCTGAGGAAGCCCTACTCACTGCCTTCTCGTGGAGGAGGTGTTTTCTCACCAAAAAGAGAGAGGACCAAAAGCCGACATTCGGGGCTATAACCGGGTTGGTGAACCACTGGTAGTTCACCTAGGGGAGTTGGCTAAAACCCCTGACTCCAAACCAACCATGAGAAGGCGTACTAACCATACACAACCTCCTGGTTGTAGCAGTGGTCACCGGCTCGGCTGAGCATCAAGATGTATTGGGGACCTTGACCCCGTCCAAAGGGTGTATCATCCGATGAACTGGACACCGACTCCCCAGTGGACTGCGGTTTTCGCACACCGCCCCGCTGCCTTGCGGGTCAGGCTTCGGCTAGCCACGGTTGTGGACTTCTCAAGAAATTCACCTGCCTTGGCCTGGGCAACCTGGCAGTATTCCGCCCACATGCAAATCATGGAACGCTTTTCTTTTGTACCATGATTTGTTTGGTACATAGTCTGGATTTCAAACGTGTGTGAAAATAATAAATGATAACCTCACTTATTTCTGGCTAAGAATGATCCCAAAAATATTTTGTTTACCGGAGTTGATAAAGTAACATCACCTGTCAGCATCATTTGATGCCCGCAGTGTAACAGGAGGACAGTTCAGAAGGTATAAAGAATGTTGCTCTCCTATCTCTATCCAGTAATGCCCTCGTTGACTGCCTTGTTTGGACTGTTCTGGGGGTACCAGTCATCAGTAACATGCCGAGGCAACACATAACAGAGAAGAGCAGGACCACAAATACAGTGTGCATCCTGTGAATTAGGCCGAATATCCTCATCCATTTTCCGTTTGGCGGGGTCTTTGAATTCGGCCGTGCCATTTAGCTCGAAAATCAAATTTACACCATTTTGTGGATTTATTCATCATCAAATCGCATCGTTATCAATTTCAAGGACACTAAATGCTGTCCTACATGAGCACGTTTGCAAAATCTGTATATGCTATTGTGAGAACCGCACCTTTTGTGAGTTATTACAACACGGTGAAAAGTAAGTTCAAGCGGATTATCAAGACAAGGCGGCAGAGAAAGGAACCAACGCGCAGGTTGGCAAGTTGGTCTCAAAGAGGACAGTAGCAGTAAACTGCAAATTCCTCTCATTTTGAAAAGTAACATTCGTTCTCCGTTACAAAACGTCGACGACGTAGCAGACATCACACGAAAAAAGGACGGCAAAAATCTAGGGATTATTATGCTACATGAATCGTGGCTTCTCAAAGAAATCTCCAATGAAATTGTACAACTGGATGGATATAACTTGTATCGGGTTGACCGTTCCACAAGTGTCCATAAACGCGGCGGTGTTGCAAGTTACGTTAACAATAACTGGGGTAAATCAAACGCCGTCATCTACAAATGCTCGATGGATAAAATCAATTGCCACGGCATTGAATATACGCCCCGTTTTTTTGAGTGAATTGCGTTTGATACGTCTTGGAAACTTTTACCTGGCACCCATAATATCAGCATCTGACATCAATAGGTTTTCTGATATTTTTCTACCTCCATTATATAAAGAACAAGCAACTCTTTGTGTATATTTCTGGGTGATTTTAACAAACGATGTAACCTTCCTCACCACACTGGGTCTATCAAATTTGGTAAATTTTCCTAACAGACTCAATTCACAACTAGATTTCGTTTTTACAAATAGACCGCAAGTTTTCAAAGTCCTTTGAGCAGTTCAGATCATTGTATCTTAACACTATGTTCAACTGTAGACAGCATAACTAACATTTTTAAGAAGACCATCCAAAATAATCAGTCAAAGGAATTGTTCATCAGAGAAAATAGAAAGTCTAAGATCCTTGATTGCCACCACAGATTTCTCGGTGTTTACAGATCAGAACCCTTTTGTCCTCGGTGAACATGTTACGGACTACCTTAATTTCTGTTTTGACCAGTGTTGCCCACTCTTCATCCATAAGGATAGATATTCATCACCGTTACTAGAACAGTTACGCAGGCGGAAAGAACAGACCTATAAGTATGGACAGAGAACCCATGTCAAGCGGCTTACAATTTCGATCAAAGATGAAATAAATCGGTTGAACAAACTGTACATTGACGCTATCCTGGGAAATTTCAGTTGTCAAGGCATGTGGAGAGCTATCAACCACCTGTGTGGTAGTACCTATAAACACGGCAGAGAAATTGTCGATGTTGAAAGACTAAATTCCGAGTTTAATCCAGTTTCACAGTGTACAGCCCTGCCAGACGTGGTCAGCTCCATGCTACCACCAATCATGGAACCCGCCACAATTCTCCAAAAGCTGCGGAAAACAAAGATGAACAAAGCATCTGGTCCAAACGAAATATCACCCGTGGTACTCAAGGTATGTGAGGACACTCTTTCAGTTCCGTTGTCTAAAATTTTCAATGGCTGTCTGATAAACGGAAAAATCCGACATTTGGAGAGTGGACAAGATAACTCCCGTCCCAAAGGAGGAACCCGGGAGGTACCGTCCCATCGACTGCACGCCACCCAAGATCAAATTATTTGAGAGATGCTTGTTACCGTGGGATAGCATTGAGTCCGCGGAAGACGACATACACCAATTTGCATATCGTTCTTTGCGCTCAACACTTGTTGCTTTTGCTTACCTTTTTCATTCAATAATTCCGGCTCTAGATGAGAAAAGTAAGACCGTCAGAATGGTATTTTTAAACTACAAAAACGCAGTCAACAGTCCCGATCGATCGGTATTGCACAACCTGATTATCGGAAGTGATGTTAATCCAAACGCTGGTAGATTGATCCGCGATTATTTCACGAATAGAAGACATTCACGTCCCTCAACGGCAAGAAATCTTCTACTGGCCCGGTTACTTCTGGTGTTCTGCAAGGTGCAATATTTTTCCCATTTTTCTTTTCAATGTGTGTCAAACAATTTCCCATTCCTTCTGCATTCATTGGCTGTAAATATGCTGATGACGTTGTTTTAGGTTGCAAAGCATTCGCCCGTAAAGAGGCTTCAGGAATCCAAAGCGAGCTAAACGACGTTGTTCATCGGTTCTTGTCCCGTTCGGTCACATTGAATGCTTATAAATGTCAGGATGTTGTTTTCCCTGTTGACGGACGCACCATATCCAGCCCTCACAGATAGGTTTCCCACCCTCTCTACTAATTATGAACTCGTAATGACATCAACAATGGTAAAATACCCTGGCGTCGCACAATCACACGATTTATCATGGTCATCGCATGTACAAATCACATTCTGTAAACTTGGAAATCTTTCATATTTCTCTCTGACTGAGAACACTTTCTGTTTCCCACAAGCTGGTTGTTAGGTTTGTGAATGCGTGCTTGTCCCCCCCCCCACTGGGTGTGTTTCTCCCCAGTGATTTGCTCGGTATGTTGAAGAAAGTCGTTTATTAACTGGCGAGATCTCTGAATGTAGTGGCACCGAGGGGGTTAAACATGCAGACTCTATCACAGACAGACATCTACAAGCACGTGGAAATTTTATTGCTAAGGTACTCTCAGATACTCATCACCCATTGCAAAATGAATTTTCAAAAGCGGCATCTACATCATTCACACGCTCAAGGTTCAAAATTTTATTTGCGCGTACGTCTTCATATCATACTTCTGTTTTGCATGTCTACTTATTGACATGGAAAAAGTTTCCACAGAATTACGCTATTACTTGCTTCATTGACCACTGATTTCGGATTAAGTATGTATCGTTTTGTAAATTTTAACCCACAAATATGGTGTAAATGCTGAAAACTCACCCATCCGGGTGCATAAAGCTACTATGACTTGATTTGATTCCTGCATCACAGGAACACAATGCAGAATGAAGATTGTCCACAGCGGCACCAAATCTGTCATATCAGAATCGTACATCCTATTGCAACTGAACACAACAAGTGGCGCAAGATTTGAGGTGATATCCCAAAGAATATTCACTGTGTGTTGGAAGAAAAATAACCGGAAATGAAAGCGCCATACACCCGTTTCAACCAACCATGATGAATAGCATCAGCAGTGCGAATTCATCGTCCACATCGACAGTCGGACGTGGAAGCTTACAGTTAATTATACGTTGGCTGTTTCACTTTGCCGATACTGACATGGCACAATCCTCTTTCAAGTTTATTGCGAGTTATCAATCTCACTCATCTTGGTACGGTATGGTTTAGAAACGCAAAGATCGAATGATCAATAGTTTGCAATATATAGTATTACAGTGTGTATCAGAGCGTGCATGTATGGAAAATGATAAACCGGGCGAACCGGATGCAGTTGGGATGGGCTTAGGCCCATTACATGCACATATACGNGGGATTTCGGGCGGTGAGGGTGGGCGCACTCATCAGATCACAGAAGAAAAGTCTGAGAAGAGAGGATGGAGATGGACAGAGAACGCCCTGGATGCGAGGAAAAAATATAGGTCAGGGGGAGTAGATTGACAAAATAGCAAACACTGATTGACGTGTGTATGATGGTGGGTCACGATGAAAAGTTCACTGGTTGATCGAAGTGTGGTGCGGTTCAAAGCAAGATAATGAAAATAATGAGTCAGACGTACAAACAGAAGCAGTGTAGGAGTCAAAACAACAGAAGATGAACGGATTGCAATCTACCAGAGTACACAATAGCAAACCTATTTCAACGCTACGTGAGATGAGGACAGAGTATCAGAGTATGTCTGTCTGTCTGTCTGCTCTTGTTTTCCTCGCGTGAGCTGGCAAACGGTGTCAATGGTCACCGACAACTTCGCGTTGGAGTAATGCGTATACACGCCGCAACGTTCGCTGATCGACATCGACAGTCTGCGCGTTAAAATCGAACTCATCGCCTGGAGGTGGTTCAAACATGCGCCAAAATGTTTGTCGATGCTCGACAATTTCTTCCTTTTTTGTGGAACAGTTTTGAAGGGAGAGCAATCCAGACCGGACGAAATGCACGGCAGCCAAACAAAGTAGGTCACTGAGTAACGGTGAGGTCTGCTGACCGATCCCAATCGCAGCTTCTGGGCCCAGCTGATTTTGTTCAGCATGATCGGGAGACGAATTGCCGTGCTCCGGTGAATCGGATGTGAGTGAGAATGCTATCTGCGTGGAGCACAGACACAGACTGTACACAACATGCAAATATGACATAGTTAAGGATAATTAAGACAAAAAGACATTGTGTCGGGGAAAACGAATAAGAAAAAAAGGATCATTTGCAGATCAACAAGAACAAGTATCATGCGTATATTTTGAAATCATGGAAGGTTTTTCTCTTTATGAAGATTATTGTAAAGTGATTTGTTTTGAACTGGTATTGTCAGTAAAGTCCCTATCAACATTATCAATAGAATGACAGCGATATAAGCTTTACGGACTTGAACCTTGTCAGTGCTAATCTGTTTTAGTAACGGGAAGCTTTGCGGGTAGACAGTTCCATAATACGCATACCTTTAGAGGACTTGTAGCGGCACTCTGATATAGGGCCAATCATATTTTTATTTCCTAAGGTCTGACTACAACTATGCACCAATATTTCTTGGAGGATGTGGTAAATTGGGACAATAATCATGTTTTAGACCAGAGTGACGATTCACGGGAAGAGACGGTTTGAAAATGATTTCATATGGAAAGAAAGGATATTATCTGGCCTCGGCAACACCACGGACGCAATCGTGACAACGTCGATTGAGTAAGCGAAGATTTACAGCTCACCAGGGAGATGAGCTCCGCTTGATAAGCCTTCAGTCTCATACATCAAACAGTGGTTCCTAACGGATTATGAGTAGTATTCTGGCACCGAGTGATATGCTCTTCATTCACACTCCGACGGTTCTCTAAATCAAGCTTTTGATTCGATGTTTGAGTAGGGCCTAGTAACTAACCACACCCTTAAAGGAAGATATGAGCGGTTGTTTATTCTGAAAACTACAGGGATCATCTGTTTTTAGTCTATTTTTCCGGCTTTATTTGGTTTCATCGATCAGCCGAATTCGCGTCCGAATCTATTCGTCCACCGCATAGGTCCCGTACACATGCGATTATTCACCTGGTTCGAGTTAGTAGCACCAGGATGTCGCACTTATAACTTCCAATCATCTTTTCCCCAAGAACCGCGAAGCTGCAAAACGCTCCCTGTTCATCTTCCTCCGTACTTGTTCAAACGCATCATCAACAAGCTGGTTCCCACCTGGTGGCGGTGGCAACGTCTGGCTTTCAACCATTTCATTGGCCACTTCTCCCTGTCTGAAAATTGTACTCAGTCGACGGTCATCACCTTGTGTGAATGGCTCAATCAATTAAGATGGTGAATGCTTGGATCACAAACATTTCCATCGCGTTTAAATGCATTAAACTAGTGGGGAATTAACGATCTCCCAAGGAGTGAAACCCACACCCAAGATCATCAAGAGTGTCTGATGTCTGTGAAAAACCGAATGGGCTAATCCAAGCATTCACTGTGTAAATTGATAGAACCATTCACACAAGGTGATGACCGTCGACCGTGTAGCTCAGGGGTAAGGGTTTGAAGTCTCAACCCGAAAGTTACCGGTTCGCATCCTGACAGGGACAAAAAAAGTACGCACTTCTGATGAGTCCCAAACAGGGTGAAACAGCTGTCCAGTGCTCTTTGACGTTTATCATAGACATTTCCATCGCTTTCATATAGACTACGTTTGAAAGAATATTGAGTGCTGGAACGAGCGCCACTGTTTGCGACACGCAGCGTCTCTAACGACCGGTTACCATAATCTCGGGGTATCCATCTAGGGAGCCTCACAGGACCTATGTGACCCAGTATCCTGGTTAGGGATTTCATACCTCCATGCCATATCTTAGTTTGACCGTTCACATTATTCAAAGTACAGTGTATTCTTGGATTAGGTGGTTTACTCTTTGCGCTATATTCACTTCTATGCAATGAAAACGTTGGATAGGTACTATACAATAAGATTAATAACCCGTATTTTTTTAAAATATCTGATTAACATTGGTGATTCAATATATCCAGCTAATCGATATCTTCTTTTGGAAAGAAATATACCAGGAAATTCAAACAAAAGAAGAGACATTATCGTAATGGAACGAAAGCCGGTCACATATGACTTGTCCCCATGCAGTGTGACAATCAGGTCATTTGAGGTCAGTTTAAGGACTAAATCAAGAGAGAGAGGAATAAATACCAAACGAAGGAATTCCTATTTTTTAACATTCTAATGGGAAAACAGTGATTATGATAGCACAAAATGGGGAGTAATATCAAATATAATAGAAATATTCTTTCATTTCAATTCACAGTGACCTGTGTGTGGTAGTGTGGGATAAGTATCATTATTGGTTTTCGCTAACCTTCATCTATACTTCATCTTCCAATGAGGAATTCTCAACTCATCCAATCAACCATACATTCGGGAAGCATCAGAATAGAGATTCGCTTTGGTACGAGCTCGTCAGTGATGCACATCCATCAGGCAATTCAGGGTTTGGACTACGTAACTCTTGCATAAAACGTGGGTGTAATACCACTGTGCCTATCAAATCTCAACCGGAGAGCCGGAGCAAACAACTCGAGCTTACTCAGAAGTTATATGCAATAACTATCAGTCAGTCCATTCGGCCCGACACTAACAAAGGGAGGTCCGGTGTACAACCTATTAACTGCAAACAGACGTCTGACACCAAATTAGGTTTTCTGTACGAGAGTAGGGGACAATCACCAGTTTTTTTACTATACGAGAAGAATGGAGGATTTGCTTAGATTAGAGGATGAATTATTCGTGAAAATAAGGCGTGAGCTGAAAAGCTAGGATTCGCACTGCTGATGAGACCCAACCAGGTCGAAACAGTTGTCCAGTGCTTCCTAGCTTTTCAGTTTACGGCTCACTTGCAAGACAAAGCCAAGCTAAGCTTTTTATATTGCGTGCCTGGAAAATGAAAGATTCCTACCAAAGATCAAAAAACCACAAGAGACAGGGCGGGACGCATAGACAAATTTTTTGTGTCGATCTAACGATATTTTTGTCCCAGTGGAGAACCTCTCTGTGGTTTGTGGGGAAATGCACTACAGCCACAGCTAACACAAACGATCTGACTGTACTGAACTGGTTAGATCATGACACGGTTTCACAGGGTAGACATAGATACACAGGTGGTTTACAACATGGCAGAAGGTCTTGAATAAACAATAAACATGTGAAGCAATCAATTTGAATCAGTGTATTACATATCCGCAAATGGAGGATTCATGTTTAAAACATAATTTTATCAGTTAACAGTACGACTACCTACGTTCATTGCGTTGGGCCAGTTTTTACCATGGGTTGAGAACTTAAGAGGAATGCACAACTTAGAAATTGCACACACGTGAAACATGAATACCAGACGACTGCTGCCTGACACCATGGTGGAATCTTCAGTGAGTTTTGGCACACAAAAGAAGTGGAATATCTTTTCTTCTCTGTTCTGACTGGTTGAAAGAGATGTATAAAACAACCAAAATGCAACGCGAATATGAGACAAAAAAGGATACGCGGCGCGCAACGTCGGCTCGGTTGAGGCGGCCAACAAGCATACGGTCGTGGCCCAAATAGCCAATCGGCGGGGTTGGCGACTGAGTAAGGTGGGTAGAGACAGGATGACCCATTGACGAATCAAGGCCTGACCACCGGGACGATCAAGGAAACGTCCAAAAAGCTGCGAGGATAGACAAACGTGAGGGGATCGAGAACGGTAGGGAGAAATATAAAACAAACAGTTTTATCACCATCAAGAAGGCACTCCAGCTAACGCTAGTTCTTTTATTAATGACCGTGAAATCATAACATCATTTCATTTACTGTGTTCTCATTGGTCAAGTACTCCATCCATTCTCTTAGATCGATCCCGCATAACAATTATGATAAAAATAACAACGATTTTAACAAGGATACGCTTTTTAACACTAGAATCAATTTTTCAGGAAGGAAGTAGTGATTAGTGAAAAGGTAACCAAGGAACACAAAGAAGTAGGCCTTTGAGACATTACTAGCGGGAATCGAACACAGGACTTCCCGAGTGATTCAAAATCAGTCCTTTTTGTGTAGTGTCGATCAGAGTATCTCGTAGAAAGCACATGAATAAATTAGGAAATTATTCCATCTCTCACGACTGTTTTTACAGTTGTATTATTCTTGAATCTGGTCAAATGACTGATGTGGTAATCGAACACCTCAAAAAGTGATAACAATGAATAAATTCGATTTCAAAAAGTTATGGTGACTCACTTGAGCCAGTGTCTGAGCAGCCAAATCAGGATGCGCGTGATCAAGACGAGCAAATTCTCCAAGCGCTTTGTTCAGAACTGGGTCCTCCAGATGCCCTTCGATTACCATGTCCCAACCAAGTTGACCAGCACGAGACTGAGGACTGCCATGTACTAGGAGGCCAGCAATAGCTTGGATAATATCTGTACTAGTTACAGGCAGTAAACGTGCTATTACCGAAGCCTCAGCGGCTGACGTCCACGCACTGGTTAACCAAGACGGCTCTCCTGGTGTGTGTACGACTGGAGCTACACCACCACGAAGACGTTCCCATAGGCAACTAAGAAATTCCTGAGTCATTCCGGCGGTAGCTTCTGAATCGGTTAGTAGTGATGGAGGCAAAGTGGTGAGGTCTGATTTGGAACTTAATACTGCGGATTCCACCGGACGTGTGAAAGTCATCGTAGTCACTAGCAGCGATGTGGATGAAGGAGGGAATTAAGAAGGAAGACGAGACCGGATGGAGTTGTAGCAAATATACGAGAGTAGATCACAGATAAATTTTAAAACTAATTTTCCATTACTTTCATTACCTTTTTTAATACATCAGGACCAAATGATGTTAGGAGTGTATCGAAAAATCGATGCGAATGTTATAATGTTTACAACAAAGCGATGTCGGAAGTGAGAATAAAGGACAAAATTTTCGGTGGAGAAGAACACAATAAAGAACGGGTACAAGCAGAACACTGTCGCTTTACAGGCACTGACGATGTCACCTCGGCTGGTGATGAAACGTTTGCAAACAAATTTCCAAGCTCAGCGAACAGGAGAAATGGAATTCAGTTCACCCGAGCTACGAGAACCGATTTTCAGTACTTTCTCAGTAATTCAATTGTGTCGATAGGACAAAACTTCTTCGTACTCTCTCTGAGTCTCATGTAATTACTCCACTATTTAATTGATTCACCCAGCGACAATGGTTTACCAAATATAAGGGATGCAACTATTGACTGCTACCTTCTACTGAAAGAGTTCTTCAAGGCGTTAATCTGTCTCTCTTCCTGTTTGCTCATGAAATATGCGGACGTTTATGAACTGAAATGTCCGAATTCCTCCATGTACCCCAAACTCATACATGACGTTTTACTGCTCACCGATTGGTCCTCACATCACAGTCTGAAGATGAACCCCTTCAAGTGTACAGATGTTTTTATTCTCGTTTGCTGAAGAGTAACAAATACAGAGGTGTAATAAATTCTATCCAGCGTATCCTACGGAGAATAAGTTTCCAGATAGTGCTCCGTCAGATACCTCTGACCTACTACTTTCAGTGATTTTTCATGGTCTCCTCATGTCGCCGTGATAATTCCTAAAGTTGGGAAAGTGTACTCCATTCCAATTCAATTGATAAAACGTTTGTCTTCACTTGCGTCCTTCCTCACTGGCATAATGGACCCACAGTTATTTCCCCCGGTTTTCTTATCAAAAACTTCAAACTCAAACGTAGAGGAATCAAACACCTATGCTGACACAGTGGCATATCTCGTGAATTTATTGTGCAGTTTTTAATTTCACACCACTTTAGTGCTTGCAAGAAACTTTCAGAGTACAGCTTGACCCATTTTACTCTCTTCATTTAGACCTTGGAAGATGCATCTTTACGTACGTCACACCCTCCAATTGTAGGCACATAGCACTATGCATCCCAACATACGTCTCAGATCTTCCGAATGTGTCGTACATCCTGTTGTGTTTAGCAGACTCATGGTGTGTGAATGGCAGATTGTGTTTCTTCGCATTTGACTTACAGTTACTTGTGAGTAGTTTGTGGGATAATTGATATTGATTGATTTGACTGACCAACCTTCGGAGTTCACCTTCACGCACAATCCTCAGTTCATCGATTCAACCATACACTTGGAAGCACTAGAATCGAGATTCGCCCTTATTAGAGCTCATCCGTAGTGCATAGCCACCGTCCTGTTCGGGGTTTGAACTCCGGACCCGGTGGGAGGCTTTTAATTGGAGTTAAAAGAGCGTCATCTGTCTCCCTTCGTTGCTGTCGGGCCAAATGAACTAACTGATTATCACTGAAGACAACACCTGAACAAACATGAATTGGCACAGTAGAAATGCACACGCCTTTCATGCGATGAGTCCAGAGTTCAAATCCCGGGCGGTAGATATGCACTACTGACGAGCTCTAATAAGAGCGAAACTCGAGTCTAAAGATTGTGTTTCGTTGTGGCAAGTGGGGTGAATAAGTTCAATGCTAAGTTCTATCACTGTTCGTCCTTGCTCTGGTTTTAAGAAACTTAAGGAAGCTAAGCGCTCAGGTTGATTTGATTTGTTTTTGGCTGTTCGCGGAGCTAGAGTATTGCTTAGAAAACTTTTTGTTCCCGTTCGAGGTGAAAGCACATTGATCGCGGTAGAATGATGTTCTGCCTTAGGCTGTTCACGTAGTTCGGCAATTCTTTAATGAGATAACCCTCAAGGATTGCATTTGAGTTCATAAACAAGCTTTCACAAATAGATATCCGTTCATTTAGGATGGCCCTGCGGCTTTGTGTTTGCGATCATGAGATGACCTTTTGTACGTAGATTTATGAATATTTTGCATTTCTCTAAATCCGAGTTGTGTGTGTGTGAAGCAAGTCACGGTGCGAGAATCATTGTAACAAACAAATCCATTCCTGACTCTTTCACATATGTAAATCACGTGATTTTCCCAGTGATTCACAACCGGAGGCTTCAGCTAGTCAAAGTGTGACCCGCAAGACAGCAGTGCACAACCCACATTCCTTTGGAGGTCAAAGTCAGCGATTCACATTTCCAGGGTGCCTAATAGGGCCAGTGATTATCACGAACAAGGAGTAGTTCACATGCCTCTTCTTCTGAGATTTGGAATCAGATTTGTTGTATTAATTATGGATATTCACTGAATTGACCGTACATTTACCATGAGAAATTCACTAGTGTACTGTGTCATTTACGACAGTCAGTTAAACAGGACTCCAAATGAACGGACTCCAATGAATATATTAGAAAATCACAATCATTAGTTACTTCGAAAGTCCAAACTGTCGACCGTGCTATTACAAAGCTTACGAGTACTTAAAACACACGGTGCGCACAAAAAATTGCTCACCCGGTTCTGACAGGTTGACCGCTTTGGTCTCGACACTGTTCGCAGAAGCTCCAGTGGGACCGGTCAATGGATTCGGCTTATCCGCGGTAGGAGATGAGCGCCGGTAATGTTGTAGCTGAGTATTTAAACGACCTGCATTAGTATACATGCATGTGACCAAGAGTCGAAGCACCGGCAGGCTGAGATGAGCCGAACGGCAGGTGCGGAGACGCATAACGCACAGCTTTTGTAAACTCTGAAGGGAACGATAGACAAATCGGAAGTGATAGGATGGAAATAAGAGTAGAAACTGACATGTTTCATGAATGAACATATGCCACCGATAACATGAAGGAGTATCATCCCATGTCTACTGATCATCCTGAAATTGAATTCAAAGTCCAAATTTTATAATGGGTGATTGAACAAAGCTATAGCTTATCATGTCCTCATTGGATTTTTTGAATTGAAGGAATGAGATTAGGGAACATCAGGCGCAGCGATCGGCTCATCTGTGGTCGCAAGATGATCGTTTCCGCAAAAGATGTAGAACAACAAATTGCCACATTTACTTGTCCAACAAATATCACACTGCTCAAATGTATCACATCTACTCTCTGTAGCTGGAAAGTTGTAAATCAGTTTCCCTCGCCCTCAACTACCCGAAAATATGAACATATCACGAACCCGATTTTCTGTAAGCACGTCGCGGACAAGTGGAGATGTACAACAATACTATCCAATATCGAATTCAGAATCCATACTCAGGAAACAGCACTCTGTAAAATAAAGATGTTCAAATGCAAACGATCTAATGGCCATATAATGAGTGATGTATTTCTTTAACCTATCCTCTTACTCTTTCAAACGCATTGGGTTTGGAAAAAAATAACAGTTTCTGTTCCAGAATAGTCATATTGGTAACTTTGACTTCTTTGGGTCTAAAAAGTATAATTTGGGTGGACAATTTTCATGCTAATAGGAGCTATCGATTGGTAGACCATCATTATCATCATTGCACAGCGTAATATATTGAAGAGAACTTCACTGATCGCTACCAAACTCATAATGTATACAAGTTAAGTAAGACTGTAAGGAGGACAGGGGTTGGGCTTAATTTTAGGGACGGGAAGAGAAAATGGGTAACACACAGAGTACACAGTTCAACTATGCATACATACTGTTTCAAACACTCTGGTCTGATAAGAAGCGACAGCACGATCGCATGATTGCTGTCGGGCTGCTGCCATGACATTCAGTGTCTCCAACCAGGCGGTTTCGGAGTCTTTTGGATCCAAACCAGAAAGACGAGAGGCATCTACTCTACTCTACTCGAGCTGTGCATTTCTTCCCTGCCTTGTCTCCACGTCATCTTCTGGCCTCCACGTGGTTTTCTCTAGTCTGCAACGGCTACCATAACTAAGGCGTGCTGCGGTAGGCGACCGTCGAACATACGCAAAACATTTCCTAACCAACGGAGCCTATTGTGCTGAATTCGACTCGCTGGCACGTTCACTGAGTTGACAGAAATCTGTCATACCATGATAAATTTACTGGTATACTGTGTCACCAACGGTGGACTTCACAGATATCACTATTGCCTATGGTGCTCCTGACTCCATCATCATCTCAGCACCATGACTGCTACTGGATCGCAGCATACTAATCTGTACGTGAATTGTTTCGATCGTATAGGCGAAATCATCATCATCATCATCATCATCATCATCATTGTACAGTGAGGCAAACTTCACTGATCGCTGCCGAACTCATTATGTATCCAAATTAGGTGAGAATGTGTAAGGAGGACAGGGATGGGGCCTAATTTAGGGACGATAAAAGAAAGCGAACCTCTATGATCAACACACAAAGAAATCACAGTATAGGCAAAAACCATTGAACAAGCGGGTCTAGATTACTGTGATCCATTTGATCAAACATAAACAGCAGACTCAATAGATAGACTCGTCTACCTTGGCTGACTGAACTATGGGGGGACCACACATTCACCCAGTCGCATTAGGAATAGTTACGATGACTATCAGACCGGTTCATACACCCAAATAGAGAACGCATAGGTTTCCCAACATTCATAACCACAGATAGAGCAGGTAAGTAGCCAATCAAAGTGCGGTCTGAGCGAGCTGCATCAACCACTTGAAGGCTGTGTCCAAATACAACGATGTGGAAGATGAATTGACTAAACAGATAATCACTACTCAAAAATTGCACGTAGACAATGCAGTTATGCGAAATCGAGTCGATTAATTTCAACTTTACTTTTTCCAGTTAAACAGGACCAATTGTGTTTACTGAATCTCATCCATTCTTTAAAGTGTTACATGAACCTATTTCAGAATGATAAATTGAAGTCCATGCGTCAAAAATTCTTGCAATTTCCAGTCCTACGGATATGTTTTCCAAAGTTTACCCCTCCTCCAAGAGCGAGGCTTTCAAAAGTGCTTTCCAAACACTTATCTATGGATCAATCTGGGAAACGGTGTCCTACCAAGTTGAGCGTCAAATAGAAATTGGAAGATAACTCACCTCGGTCGCGCCTTTGCCTAATCGACCCATTAGGACAAGACGTTCGGCACCACGACACCAGGCCGCATGCACCGCTGGTGAATAACACAAATCGGAAGTGGTTCCAGCGCCCAGATTTGCATAGCGCTACCCGACAGAAAAGACAGTTGTGTAAGGTGTGTGAGAGGTGTTGAGAAGGAGCATTGAAAATGTTGTTTGGGTCAAAAAAGGAGAACCAATGAGGTTTCTGCCACTGTTATCAACAGGTTAAGGAGAACTATGATAAGCATTACTTATATGCGATAAACATACAATAATATGGAAGATGATGGAAAAGTTAAATAGATAAATAGCAAACTGATTTTTCTATACTACGATTCAAAATTGGAGGACTAAGCAGCAATTCCGAAACCCGAATAGGCACTCTTTGTTTCGACTAACTTCATGCTTTGTGAAAAACCCTGTAAATAGTATGATATAAGAGAATCATCAAAATCACTTGATTTTGTTCTTCAGTGCACATTTAGCCTTTGCCGAACTCAGCGTACATGGAGGACATGTTGACCGAAGTTGCATGGGTCAGAATCATTGCATGAAGCAGTGGATTTAGAAACTCCGATGTTTGCACTTAAACGATTTTTTTCAGAACGAACCTAATTGTCAAACAGTTTTGGAGTGTGATCACTTTGATAAGCAAACAGCCTTGAAGATTCAAATACGAAGAGATTCAATCAGCAAAAAAGTACTCACAAACACATCCTCGTTCGAGGTTGAGTGAAACCTCGTAGTTTCTGGAGAAAGTGCTCTCATGGGGTGCGTCTCTTGAGAGGCTGGTCCCAATTAAACGACGGTCTTCGCACAGCATCAGCTTTCCACATGGCGAGCCTGGCTTTGGTTAACCAGGGACTTATATTGCATTGGACAGAAGCAAGCATTCCGGATGTTAAACCAACAGAAAACTGAGCGGTTATCACCGTTTGCTGAGGCCGTACCCATTCGGTGTCACAAACCAGACCTCTGCACACAACGAGACTTTGTGGCCAGTTTTACTATGCCATGATAGGGCTGCCACCGCGGTTCCGATCGATAAACATGTTTTCCTACCCTTTCCCTCTATTCAACCCGAGTGTAACCGTTGACCTTTGACGTTCGCATTGATTTAATCCAGTATTTAGGGATTTTTTATTGTCCTGATCAAACTTTCACATGAATGTTTGTGCACACAACTGAAGAGATAACGAGAAACAGTTGAATTCAATCCGGTTCTGTGCTGATGCTTTTTTTCGCTATTGTGTAGTACTGTTCGTTTAACATGATTGCATAAATGTGCGTTTAAAGCAGAATGAGAGGTGTGATTGATGGCCAATACCAATTCCGTACACTTAGGTCTTTTTATTTGATTGAACTGTTTCACACAAATCAGTTGTCAGTTTTCTACAACCATTAACCATGTAATTTCGCACATGGGTTTTGATTGCCTTCCTTTGGCTGCTCCTTTGGATGAAGCATTCGTCGACAGAAAGCCAAAGCTTGAAAAAAGCGGCTGCTGATAGTACTGTCTAGGCATTCTAAAACCATGTGAATGAGAGGTCACAGTTAGGATAATACTTTCACGAACCATTGTCAAACTGCTCGCATGATTGAAGATCATGATGTAGTATTATCGTTCTTGAGTGAGAGCGTGTGGCCCGATTCGAGTCGGCGTAAAAAACGTCGCCGTTGACTCTCTTAACACAGAAAATGGTGCACCAACAGTGTTAACCGCATTATATGTTTTGCCTACTGAGTTTTTTGTTAGTAGGTAGTTTCGAGATTAGCAACAGCGACACCCATGTAGAAGTGTATACGGATAAACAGGAACATACGGTCGCGTAGGCAGCTGTTCCATATTGATGGATAAGGAAAATAGTTGACCAGCAATCTAAAGATAGTAGACTACAAGGAGTCCAGAGAGAACTAAGTGATGCCGCGTTGCCAGACTGCACGTGAAACGGCGACTTGGATGGAGTATCGTGATTGGATGTGATTGCCATGCGGATATAGACGACGATCAACATTCCCAGAACTAGTGACAACGGGTCCTGTAGTAAATGGTTCTTTTGTAAGAGAAATCAGGATAGCATACATGACAGAATGTAATATGAGCGTTCTTTGTTTGACATTAAATAATTTTATTGTTATCAAACCGAAGGGAAAGTTCAAAAAATGAGTAAACAAAATACATTCGAAGATGTGTACTAGTAGCAAACTCCCAACATTACTCATGGAATTCCGTGAAAACGATTTGATGTCTTTCAATTGGAAAAATATTATTCTATGTGAATCCATCGTTTGGACCACTGAACACCACGAAATAGTGGCACTTTTATTTTTCTCGATCATATGGAGGATAGATTCAACGAAGAAGCGAATGGCGTTTGCAGTCAAAGTCTTGAGTTTTAATAAGAACCTTAAAAAATAGACTCTCA